CTCTCTCTCTCTCTCTCTCTCTCTCTCTCTCTCTCTCTCACTCCCTCTCCCCTCTTTGTGTTTTTCATTCGTAGCACGGTGTGTTCAGTAACCTCACTGCGGTAGGTACGAATACATTTCCATATCTGTCTGTTCTTGTTTTTTTTTAGTGGAAAAGTATCGTTTACTGCGGGTCGATAATAACTGTTTTAATCACACCTCAATTGTTTTTAAAAAATAAGATTAAGTTAAGGCGTATTTTATACAAACTGTTGTGCAAAGTATGGTGAACATTGATTCACCTGTTCCCAAGATATGTCTATTATTTGAGGATAAGTTGCGCCTCGTATCCTCAAATAATAGACCTATCTTTTGAACGGGAAAATCAATGTTCACTATACTTTGCACAACAGTTTGTATACAATTTGCCTTAACTTATCGATTGCCCTGAATCCATTTATTCTCCTTGCGAGTTTGACATTTTCCAGAATTTAAACACTAACACGAACTGAAGAGCACTGGAGGTGAAACCGGAAAAGGAATAGACGCTATGGGTATTCTGGGAAGTGTGTTGATATCCCACCACTCTGGCCGTGTCAGATGTTCGCGCAATGCTGCACTCACTGCTAATTGCTTTCTTGCTTTTCTTCACATTCTACTCGCCTTTCCCTATCTAGTAGACCTTGCTCGCTTTTGAGCCCAAATGGCAGGTAAACGTCGATATAAAGTACTGCTTTTGTAACAAACTGATGGAATCAAACCGTAACTTACCTGTATTACCTGTCCTGGGCAACGACGTCTACAATAAAAGAGCTCTGTAATACAATAATTAATTTGTAATGTTGCTACCCTAAAATTACAAAGGTCTATCTGCTCAATACCTAATTTTGAGAAATTTGACGTAAAATATTAATTTCAAGCCACACAACATGTCAAGTTTTTTTCGAATGCAATTTTTAAAATATCTTGATAACGACTTCGAATTACCTTACGATTTTTGTAGAGCATGTAGAACATTTGGTTCCTAACCTCATGGTATTAATAACTCAAAACGGCCAAAAACATGTCAGAAAGAACTTTGTAATTCAAAGGTAGCGATGTGTTCATGTGCCAGCGCGTGCGTGCGTCCGTGCATGCGTGAGTGTGTGCGGGCGTGCGTGGCTCATATGACTATCACGCTCGTGAGAAAACTTTACAGCACTTACATATAACTTATTTTTCTAATAAGACATAAGACACCAATCCTTTGTCCCTCATCTGCCTTTCGACAAGGTATCTGGTACAGTTTTTCTGTTGTTGGACATCAAGCCCACTTCTCTGACCACCGAGTGAACAACATGACCATCAGCTGGACTACAAAATAATACAAACACCGGCAGCATGGTCGACCGGACCCGTCTTTCCACAAGCAAAGAATCCCAATGGCTTCAAGTGATTCTGCTTTTCTACCTCCTTGGTGTGTTTACGCCTTTGATAGGTTAATCTATCTATCTATCTATCTATCTATCTATCTATCTATCTATCTATCTATCTATCTATCTATCTATCTATCTATCTATCTATCTATCTATCTATCTATC